TACAAAATTTTTATGTAAGTGTATTCTTTATTTATGTTTATCGTTATTGTATTTTGATTTTGATTTTGATTTTGATTTTGATTTTGATTTTATTTTGAGACTTGTTTAGAGTAAAAGTAGCCCTTATTCTCTATATTAATGCAATCCATAAACTTTGGCCTATTAAAAAATGTTTACCTCTTAACTTGACCTTTTTCTTTAATTAATGGGTCTCATTGCTAAATCATCTTTGAAATTTTAATATATTTGTCCAACTCACCAAAGGTCCCATGCCTAAATGCCATGTAATCTAAATTTTGAAAAAAAGAAATAAATTTCTTTCAGCACTCCGTTAATAAAGGGACCAAATTGGGGCAGCATTGATTTGTTGAGGGACAGGAAAAGGTACGCAATAGAGTTGAAGGACGAAATTGGTTTAAAACACTAAAAAAGGGATTTAACCTTCTATAATTATGGAAAAACTTTATTTATTGCAATGTTTCATGGAATTGTAGAAAATCATGACATTCTAAATAATTCAAATAATACGGATGATAATAAAAAAACTTAGGTAGTGTTTGGAGTGGTTTTTTTACCCGTCCTTTTTTTTCACAACCCTTCATAAAAGTGTTGATATATTACGACTAATTTAATTTTAATTAATGTTTTGTCTAACTTAGTGAACATATAAATATATAAGACTATTTTTAAAGCATTTATCAAACAATATCATAATTTTTTTTTATAATAAAATATTAAAAAATCACAATTACAATACTTCACACCAATTCTAAACATAAACTTAAATAAAAATTTATTAAAAATATTTAAATAATTTTACTGATAATCTTTATATTTTAAATGTCAAAACTTTCTAATAATGGCATCTTGACAATTAATGACAATTAAAATTCTCTTACCAAAAACACACTTAATTTTGGGGCATAGCCTTCCAGTTAGTGGAATATGAATATTAACAGCGTAGTATAGTAGATGAGGATAGTTGTACTGTTAGGCTGCTTACACTCCCCAAAAGCTAGTGTAGCAAGTGAGATTACTCAATGGGTAAAGAACTTTAGAAGGTAATTTTTTGACAACTTATAACTTTATTGTAATCCCTCTAGTCATATACTAGAATCGTATGTCTAGCTAGATTATTCTAACAAGTAGTTTAAACTGTCATATCTCAAACTTGGATTTGGCTATAATATCTATATAAGCATTTGACTGTTAACCTTTTAAATGAATTAACTAGATTAGTATGTGACATAAGTATTCTGACAAGTAATTCCTTTTTGTTTCTATATACTTCCTGTATGGTAAGTCATAGATACATTATAAATTTTTTTGATTATTAATACATCTTTGGTTTTATTAAAAAAATTGAAAAAAAAAAAAAAAAGAGAAAAAAAGGGGGTAAGTACCAAGATTGTAGTTCCCTTCATATAATCTCCGCCAAGAAATTGGAGATGGTCACTCCAAGTTGATCTCCACCAACTCAAAGTTGTTGCAATTTCTTAGTGGAGACTACATGAGTGGGAAAATTTCTAATTTCACAAAGTAAAAAGAACACTTTCAATGACATTAATAAATTTTTGTGTGGCAATAAGACATAAAGAAGGAAAAAGAACAGTCATTACCTATTTTTAAAAAAGTGAAATAATTTATTCGCCATTAAACCTCTTTGGTTTTTACAATAGCACTGTACTAGTGTCTCAATAAACAGTAATTCATGTGCAACCCCAAATAAAAGAAAATCAAGCATAAATTACCTCCCACGATTTTTAAATAAAGATTATACTACTCTCACTTGGGTCACTTGCACCGTTACTTGCTTTTTTGGACAAACGAAGATTTAAAAAAGGAAAAAAAGAAACATAACTCAAGATTCAACTAAGTCATATCAGTCCCTCATACGGTCTCAGGTAAGATGACAAGCCTTTCATTGTAGCCTGCGTTGCATTTTTATTATACATTTAAAAACACAAACAAGCTAGCCGAAATGGGGATGAAATCATTACTAAGAGCAGAAATCAGTTCTTGTCGGCTACATGAATATTCAACCATAAAATATTCAACCATATAAGACTACTAGAAGATTGATAAATTAGTATCTTAATATATATACTTTAATTTGGAGCAAAAATACAGCATAAAATGATTCACCATTCTGTGTTGAGCAATGAAGTCTCAGATCTTAAGGATTAAACAGGATAGGTGTCACCAACTCTCTTAATTTTGTACAAATAATAGTTAATTAACTCATATGCATAGCTTGCATTGTCGAACATCATTAAGTTATATTTGCAACACTAGGCGTGCATAGTTTTGAGCAATTACCCTTTATCGAGGCTCCAACTTTGAGAGGGTAAGTCCATTGATTGAAGATGATTCAAGCTTGGTAGATGAAGAAATTGTTTCATGTGATTTCTTGTCAATAAGGAAACCGGGTTCTTTGGGTTGTACTAGTGTTGTCTCACTACTTAGCATCAAAACAACAGATGACATACTCGGCCTGTTTTCTGGGTGTTGCTGAACACATAAAAGACTAATATGGATACACCTTAGTACTTCAGATAGAGTGCAAGACTCTAGTACAAACGAATCAATCAGTTCCGAAGGTTTTCCTTCTTTCCACAATCTCCAGGCCTAAATACAAATTATCACCTGTGTCATTTTCTAGTTCAACAAAATTAAGAAAGCAAGGTCTTGAATCTTGATACCTACATGTCCAATAAGGTTGCTATGGTTGAGATGGTAAAACCCCCTGTTCTTCTTCCCACTTATTATTTCCAACAACAGTACACCAAAGCTGAAAACATCGGATTTCACTGAGAATTGCCCATCAAAAGCATATTCTGGTGCCATATAACCACTGCAAGAAAAAATTGAGAAAACTTATATCAGTAGCAATTTTTATAGTAAATTAGGCAGTACAAAGATAGGACTTACTAGGTTCCAACCACTCTTTCTGTGTTACCCTCAGATTCTTCTCCAAATGTTCTAGCCAAGCCAAAATCTGAAATTTTGGGGTTCATTTCATTATCAAGTAAAACATTGCTTGCTTTGAGATCTCTATGTATAATCCTCAATCTAGAATCTTGATGGAGATAGACAAGCCCTCTAGCAATTCCACAAATAATGTGAAAACGCCTTGACCAGTCTAATAGATTCCTTCTTGTATCATCTGTCATGTAACATGTTCTTCATATTAGCATAGTGTTCAACAAGAGTCTTAAAAAAGAGTTGCATTGAAAGATGAAAGCCAGTTTTGCTGATATTATGCTACTCGTACTAAGTTAATTAAACAGGTTTCACTGGAATCCTAACCAAAAATGAAGAAGTCCAAACTTTTATTAGGCATATATTCATAAATCAACATCTTCTTCTCAATGCAGCATCCTAAAATCTTTACAAGATTCCGATGTTGAAGTTTGGCTATAAGTGCTACTTCATTCTTGAACTCAACTAATCCTTGTCCAGAGCTTCTTGAGAGGCTTTTCACAGCAATTTCTTTTCCATCTGGCAAAGTACCCTGGGAAGGTGCACACTTAAAGTTCATTTCTCAGCAAACAAACACTTATTATCCTAATAGTCATTTTTACTTGAGTTCTTAGCATTTACCTTGTATACGGGCCCAAAGCCACCCTGTCCTAGCTTGTTGCTTGAGAAGAAGTTATTGGTGGCTTTTGATATTACATCTAACTCAAATAAAGGAATTTCCATATCTTCATTTTGCCTTTCTTCACCCCTGCTATTCTCTGTTCCTGAAAGGGTGAAGCATTTAATGAAAATCAAATGGTGAGGAAAGAACCAATAACGGAAATTGCTATCAAAGTTTAATGGCAACATAAATTTTTAAGTCAAAGAAAAATGCCTTCTGTGTT